GGGATCCAGTTTCATCCTACACCTACATATTCTCCACATATATGAAAAAGAGCATTTTTTTCATAAGGACATTCAGCTAGAAATATATTTCATTTCTTCTGGAAATTTTCTTTCTGATAGTTATTTCTAAATTTTAGAATGCAGTACTGGGCCTGTTGTTTTTGCTTCACATCATGACTTAATTGACATATGTGGTCGTAATCCTGCCTTCCTGGTTTTTTGTTTTAGGTTTAGAATTTTTTCCTAAATACCTGCTCCAGAAACTCTCAAAGTTACTTAATTAGTGATTACACTTTGCAAGTGAAGAAGACCATTTCCCAGCTAGTTGACTCAGTTAGTTAGATCAGGATGCTAGTAATTAGGCCACAGCCATGGTTTGGCTCTGTGCGGGCTAATTAGTGAGTGTAGGCATCTCACAATAGGGAAGGTGTGGCCTTGGTCCCAGGAAGGACCTGATGAGAATGGAGGTGTCACAGCAGAGATCCAACCCCACTAGAAGGACAGGACCTTGCTATTGAGTCAGTAATGGTGCACTGGGAGCGCCGTGCACTTTACACAAACGGGGAGGAAAGGGTGGGAAGAAGAGGGATGAAAGCAAGAGGGAAGTGAGAGAGAGACAGAAGGGAAAAAGAGAAAGAAAGGAAGGAGGGCAGAGGGAAGAAAGGAAAGGGGAAAGGAAAACTAGCAAATATAGTAGACAAGTTCCTGGAGGTAAATAATAAGAGAAGAGTAACAGAAGGAGCCAAACCCTGAAGCACGGCGTGACCTTTAATCAGGGCTCTTATTCCCAGCAGGCTGTGAGGCCGCTTTGTCTTTACCTGCTCAATGGATCTCAGTGCTGATGCACTGCTTTAATTTGGGAAGCCTTCCTCTTGAGAGGCATGTCTTTTCTTGCTCTAAGTCTAAAGTGCTCCCGAGTGTGGCATTCTCTGTGACTGATGTACTACTGTTATGCTTTAGCTGACTCCAAACCCATAGCCTCCCAGTGCCTGAGTGGTCTATTGATGTCCAAGAGTGTGTTTCCTTCGAGAGCAGGTCTTTGCTGGAATACCATCCAAGGAGGTAGAAAGGGGTAATCCCTTTGTTCTAAAAGAGCAAAACAGCCACTGTTAAATTCCACACCTCCACGCTCACCCAAGGCTGTTGTTTCAGAAGATCTAAAGTGCATTTACCGATGCACATAAATACCCTCTACCCAGCCCGTGGAAGGGCACTGTCCTCCAGAGACTGCAGAGTCCTCTCCTTTCTGAACTGTGCCCAAGCTTGTTCCATTGTTATAGATGGTTTCAATTCCACATGATTCTCTTTAAAGATAAAGGATTTCAAAAATATTTGAACATCTCCAAGGAAACAAGATTCTCTGGCGAATCTTCCATCCATAGCTTCACTTCTTAGAGAAGTCTCGGTCTTGTTGACAGGATGTCACATGTGCCTGGCAGGACCAGCCAGCTCCACACACGTCCATCTGTGATTATTCTGCATGTCTGTTTCTCGCTGATGAAGCACGGCCGTTCTTCTCGGAGTTCTACCCTTCCCACCATCAGAGCCCATCCTCGAAGGGAGGCAGCAGTGTAGCCACGGGCCATTTCTGTTGGAACATGTGCCACTTGTCTTCTCCAAGGAGTTGCAGCTCCTCCTGCCAGCACCGATGTCTGCTAAAGGAGGCCTTACTTCTCTAACTCTCGCACGCAGGTCCAAGAAGAAGGAATTTATCTCCATCTACCCAACAGCTTGCTTTCTCTTTTGGCATCCTGATTAGATCAGAGAGGGCTAGAGTCTTGGCAAGAAGATTTTTTTTTTCCATCATTTTTATTCTTTGTAACAACTCTTAAGTTCAAAGTACACAAAAGCTCACTGCTATTTAAAGTCTGCCTCTAAAATTAAAAGAAATCCCCTCCTTTTAAACTTAACAGTTTGGGGCATTTTTTTCACAAGTTTCTTTCTTTCATGAGAAAGAGAGACACAAGCACCTTCATCAGCGTCTCATGCAGCGATCCCCCCAGTGTTTGCCAGTCAGCCAGGACCGCAGGCATGTGCGTGCACACCGGCATGTTCAGGCTGACCTGGGAACCAAACTGATCTTGCCCAGGACTTTCCCACGTTGCAGAGTCTTGTGCTACCCTGTGTCACCGAGTCAGCTGCTCTTCAGCACTTTTACTCGAGATGACAGGCTGATGAATTATTCCACTGTCCAGAACCTGCGGTAGGGGGAATGAAGAGTTGGAAGTTTTTGTTTGTTTGTTTGTTTGTTTTTTCTCTTGTATTTGTTTATTGTAGCTCTGGGCTTACTTTTCTTTTCTTTTAGATAGCTTTTTGCCTTTGTTAACTATTCTCAGTTAACGTTTATTTAAGAAAGACAAAGCACAAATCCCAGGCACAGTGGTGCAGTTCCTATAGTACTGAACGGCAGTGCTGGAAGCCACATGGCCAGCTGTGGGTTCAGGTTCCCGGTCCAGCTGAGCTGAAACACACATGGCTTGGGCATGCATCCAAGATTCTGATGAGCCGGGGGGGCTGGAGAAGGGGTTCATGGCATGCCCAGTGCCCGTTGAGGGCGCTCCTCTCTTTCTCTCTGTCATGCACACACTCTCTGTCGTGAACAAAATAAAATAAACTTTTTTAAACAGGCAAAGTATGAACAATCTAACAAAGTAATACTGAACACAGCGCTGTAGCATAATAATTATTAATAAACTGACCATGTGTTTAAGTTTTGTGAAAACTCTTCAAAATGTAGAGAGCAGTATAGCCCTACAGTTTGATAAAGATGGGGTTATCCATCTTAAAACATTGATAAGTCAGAAACAAGCCATTCCTTAAATTCTTAAGAACAGTCATCATAGGGGAACCAGCAGTTAGCGTAATGGCTATGTCGCTGGACTCCCGCATAGTTGACCGCGGTTCGCATCCCGGACCCGGTGGCTTAAAACTCATGCCGGGCGCGTGTGCGTGCGTGCCCAAGATCCTGAGAGGAGAATGGAGGAGAGGGAATTGCGGCGTGGCCATCCCCCCTGAGGGGTGATTTCTCGCTTTCTGTCTCTCTGTCTCTCTCTGTCTGTCTGGCGAGCGCACGCGCCCTATAGTGAATAAATAAACTTAAAGAAAGAAAGAAAAGAGACAGTCATCATAGGAACTTAATACCTGGCTTTACTGAGGTGAAGTCAGGGCCTGAAACATCCATGTCCTCCCTCTTCCCAGCCCTGCGAGGCCATTATAGAGCATTTAGACCAGAGTCTCTGTTTTTCTAGTGCAAATGGCAGTACTTGAATGCAGTGGTTTCACGGACATAGACAAAACAAAATGTCCTCCTTTTTCTTCCCTTTTTTAAGTGAGGGTGACATTATATATTATTGTTGCCATTCAACCTTCCTCTGATTTAATTTTTAAAATAGCATTTATTTTGTGTGTGTGTGTTTGTTTGTTTTTTGGAGAGGTTTTTGCTGTAGGGCGCGTGTGCTCGCCAGACAGACAGAGACAGAGAGATAGAAAGCGAGAAATCACGCCCCAGGAGGGATGGCCATGCCACAATCCCTTCTCCTCCATTCTCCTCTCAGGATCTTGGGCACGCACGCACATGCGCCCGGCGTGAGTTTAAACCACAAGGTCTAGGACGCGAACTGCGGTCGACTACATGGGAGTGCAGTGACATAGCCATTACGCTAACTACTGATCCCGTGTGTGTGTTTTTTAAGAAAGAAAATAATTGTCCATCATCTCATTCATAGAAAACCCCTCCTAACACTTAGAAATAAAAATAGTATTTTTCTATGACTTAAAATTTTCATCGGTAAATATAGAAATGAAATGAAAAGCAAATGCTTCCTTGATTTTATTTCTTAGAAGATTTTCTGATGCTAATCTACCTCAGGACAGCCCAGACATGTCCTTAAAAAGATACCAGACTTAAAATTTAAAAAAAGTCTATCAAGACAAACCTAGAAAGTGGTAAGAGTGATAACATACAACATAACATTCCTTGTTTAAAAAAAATTATCTCTGGATATTACGAGAAGACAGAAAAAAAATCTTTTTTTTTTTGAGAGGTTTTTGCTATAGGGCGCATGCACTCGCCAGAAAGACAGAAAGAGACAGAGAGACAGAAAGCGAGAAATCACCCCCCAGGGGGGATGGCCACACCGCAATCCCTTCTTCTCCATTCTGCTCTCGGGATCTTGGGCACGCACGCACACGCACCCAGCGTGAGTCTTAAGCCACCAGGTCCGGGATGCGAACCGCGGTCGACTACATGGGAGTCCAGCGACATAGCCATTACACTAACTGCTGGTCCTGAGAAGAAAAAAATCTTAAATACTGAAAAGGGATGATTTGTCAGGAAGTCACGAAACACTTCTTTAAAAATTTTCATTTAATGTTATTTATTATTTTAAAATTTGCTATAGGGCACTTGCACCCACCAGAGAAACTTACACACAGAGAGAAAGAGAGAGAGGGAAAGTGAGAAAGCAAGCTGCCAGGCTCAGTACTTGCACTGTGCTTGGTAATGTGGGAGTCCAGCACTTCAACTATTGTGCCACCTGCTGGCCCCACAAAATACTTTTAATAGTCATAGTCATAGTTGCAACCTGAAGATGGCAAAAAAAAAAAAAAAAAAAAATCACTCTAATTTTCAGGATCGGTGGATAAGTTATGACCAGAGAATGGGCAACTTTTTTCTCTGATACTATGAGTACATGTGGAAAAAGTCAATCGCAGGTTATGGGGTCAGGTGACCATATGGAAGTAAACTAATTACCTTTATGGTCCGTTTCCTTGAGCACTTTTATAACACTTTGGTAAAGATGGTAACAAGTTTGAGTGCTCTCGGGAGCCTTCTGGGAGTGAGCTGTAATATCTACGTGTCAGGCTGTCATGTCACGACGTGTGGGTTAAGGCAGCGCGTGGGTCTGCGTCTTCCTAACTAGTGTGATAACGTGTGTGTCTGGGCCCCTCACTGAAAGACCGCAGTATATTTCATCTCTGCCAACACTTTCTTTCCACAGTCTGTGAAAGTCACAACACCCAGAGCTCCGAAGTCATCGTGGGATTATGACTTCTCTATTTTCAACGGCAACATAGACATGACCACCCCGGACTTCCTAGCATTCAAAGAACATTTTAGCCTAGCTTGGGGAAGTATTTTTTCTCTCTTAGAACACATTGAAAAGTTTCTCAGAGACTATGCAATACCAGAAGTCAAAATTAAAGGGAAGAGCTTGGTGGCCCTCTTGCCAGAGTTTGAGCTGAAGAATAAAGTGACCAGATATGAGCTCCTGTCAGTGGTAGAGGACCCGAGTTACGTCCAGAGGCTGATAAACCTTCCAGGGCAGAGGTACAAGGGCCAAGATGGAGAGTTGGAGGCGGCCATCAAGATCCAAGCCACGTGGAAATGCTATAAGGCCAGACAGTTCTTCCTCATTTATCGCCAGAAGAAGTGGGCATCAGGCGTGATCTCCATAGCTTGGCTTTTACGTTGCCACAAGGCCCGGCTGAAGAGGATCCTGAAAGAATCCCGTCAGAGACACCTGGAGAATTTCCGCCTTCGAGCCAAGGTGCACGCGACTGCCACCTGCTACGGCAGGCCTCTTTTTCTGAAGGTGTCTTGCTCGAGCGGTTACGATACGCTGTCTCTTTATCCTCCCGTTCTCTCTCTGACTACCCTCCCCTCAGCCTCCCTCGCCTTTCACTCCCCTCACTGTGTGTGCATCGTATTTTAGCCCTAATCAGGAATCTGGCTTTTGTACCTGCAAAATCTGTTGCAATTTTTCTATAGAAAAGAAGTCCCCTTGCTTTGACTATGGTAGTTCTGTCAGAAAATCGATGTTTTAACTGCATTACCTTTTCTCCCCTATATATACCTTCTGGCAGTTTAATTTGCTAGGAAAAAAAAAAAAATCCTCTCTTGTCTACATTGCTGTCACCACTTTGTCAGAAAGTATTTAAGTTTGCAGACAGCCTTTTAATTAGTGCTCACAATTTCATTTATGTTTGCTTTCTCTTTTTTTCATTCATATTCTGTTAATTAAGTGAGCTGCCTCTAATCTTCCCCTGCCAGTAGCATCATGTAGCCACCTAATTAAATTAATTGGGGAAGATGTTTTAAGTATGTAATTAAATCAATTAATATAATTTATGCCTGGCTTAACTGTACAGTGGAAAAACAGCTGAAGTTTGACTAGATGAATCCACTACAGCTTCCTGTCACTGATCAATGCTCTTCTTGATTTTCAGCATCTGGCAGCCAACTGGAATCGCATCAGGACCTCCAGGAGGACTATTATCCATATCCCATCATTAGGTATAACACTTTTGCCTGCAAATCTATCAGCAACCTCTATTACCCACCACATTATGGCTCCTTGATTGAGTTCAAGGAAGGCCCCTTGTTTTATTCAAATTGGTCTCGGCAGGAAAATGTTCTCGACATGATGAGAGTAATAACACAGGGCCCTCGCTCGAAACGGCGTTTAATTTGGGGATTAAGCAAATAAAGTCATTATGTGGGGGCTGCTATTCAGTGGAGAGGTGATTTGCTGTAATTCGCTTTCATCTGTATGAAATGAACTAAAAAGTTGTATTTTTCCCCCTGAAATAACAGATAATGTTTTCGATCTTCTTTAATGATAGGAGAACACGGGCTTGTGTGTGTCGTTGCTGTTACGCCAATAAGCCAGGATATTGCTTGTACACTGTTTTTAATCAAATGTGCAGTCAAAATGATAAGCTACATTCTCTGAAATTATTTAGTTCTAATTACGAGCAGATGGGATGCTTTATTTGCACCTAGGGCGCCTGAGCAAAAGGAAATGCTGTGTGAACAAGAATAATTAAGAAGTTGAATAGTGTTTTTTGCGCTTAAATAATCTGCAGTTTCATGTTAATTAGCACTAATGTAATTATTTAATTACATTTATGAATTGGGGGACTTCAAGGCTGTTGTCTGAAACACAGTGGTAAGATAGGTATGCCAAAATGGCATCGGGAATTCCAGAAATTTGCGCTGGAAGTTCTTTGAAAACCTGAGCTGCTGTCAAAGTGTTTAGGGTTTGTTTGCTTCCTTGTCTGTTTCCTTTTGTTTTGTTTTGCTTTGCTTCTGTCTGGTGAGTTAAATTTCCCTCGTTGAGACCACACTTCCTAAGCTGACTTGGTAGTTTTGACAAACAGCAAAACCCACTGAATCTCCATGTAACGTATCAGCTCTGCGTTAAGGCCTTTTAAGTAGGGCAGTGCATTCAGTGGTCTAGACTTAACACTAGAACCCAGGATGTAATAGACTCAGGATGGCAATTTATCAGTGCTCATGTGTTTGCGTACTTATGTTTAATATAGAAACAATACATTTAAACGGGAACATGAGAAGAGAAAACATACGTTTATTATGAAACATTATATTTACCATATAAACATAATTCCTATTATTTTTAAATTAGTAAAATATGAATAGTAGCAAGGCAGTGTGAACTTTCCTAGATTGCCTATATCTAAATATTTGTAGAAGAATTAAGAAAATAATTGAGCTGCACAGATCCTTTTAGTTTTAGTCTTCTTTATGGGATGACAAAAGAAATTCATTCCTTCTTAGGATGTAAGAGACCTAAACTTCATTATAACTTAAGCTTTGGTTTTGGCGACATTACTTTTGCTCACAAAATTAGTTCACACACAGAAATTGCACTTGTAATTTATTACAGCCAGAGAGGCTAATTGAGACCCAATTAACTGACTCAGTTCCTTAGAATAAGGTGCTAGAGCCTTTGCTTCTGTGACTAATTGTAGACTTGACCTGATATTATGTGGGAAATTTTGTTTTGCCTTTCTCCATTTGATTTGAAACTAGAGCCAGAAACAGGCCTCCACTTTACAGTGGCTCCGAGCGCTCAGATACGGTAGGTCCAGCTTCCGTTAACGTCTTCCCTCCCACACATGTTCCTCTGACCCTTCAAAAAACTCCCAGGTACCAGCCCTCAGAAAAGGCTCAAAAAAAGAGGAGACTCCAAAAAAGTAAAAATTTGGAATTAATTCTAACATAAACTGGACGATAAAAGAAATTGTAAATGAAAATATCTTAAAATCTCAAAAGGGTTTGCTGATAAATTAAGACAAAGAATGATTTGGTCAAAGAAACTACAATTAGAAAGCATTATTTTAAATCTGACACTAAAACTAGTAATCTTTCTTCAAGATTACACACACTCATTTAAATAAACACATAATAAATTTGAAAGTTGTCCCTATTATAATACTTTTTATTTGTTAATCCTGCTACTCATTTTTTTTTAAATGGTTATTGGGGCCAGCAGGTGGCATGGAGGTTAAGGTGCTGAATCCCACATCACCAAAATTTACTGTTTGAGTCCCGGACCCAGTAGCTTGAAAATCGTACCGGGTATGTGAGTGTATGTACGTAGCCAAACTCCTGAGTGGAGAGTGAAAGAGAAGGGATTTTAATGTGACCATCCCCCCGGGGGGGTGATTTTTTCACTCCCCCCTTTCTCTGTCTCTCTATAGCAAAAACTGAAGTAATAATAATGATAACAATAATGTATTTCCTAAGAAATAAAGATAAGTGCAGATGATTGTCTCAACTGAGCATTTCAAAAGACCAATTATATGTTTTTACAAGAGAATGGTACTTAATCTTTGATCATACAGTGTTTGTTTCTACAATTTATGCTTTAGGTCTTATAGAATGACCTACGGACATTAAGTGTAAGTAACCAACTGTCATCTCCTCCCTATTCCACAGCGGAATTCTCAAACTATGCCTTTCTCTTTCCTCCAAGATATGGGGCACTTTGTTCTTGTATAGCACTTCCCCTTGAGAATACTCAAAGATTTCAGCTAGATATAACACGGCTTCTTTGTCCCATGCACCAGGAACTTAAGTACATTGTTCAAAAAAATAGAGGTGAGGACCAGCAGTTAGCGTAATGGCTATGTCGCTGGATTCCCATGTAGTCGACCGTGGTTCGCATCCCAGACCCGGTGGCTTAAAACTCACGCCAGGCACGTGTGCGTACGTGCCCAAGATCCCGAGAGGAGAATGGAGGAGAAGGAATTGCTGCGTGGCCATCCCCCCTGGGGGGAGATTTCTCGCTTTCTGTCTCTCTGCCTCTCTCTGTCTGTCTGGCGAGCACACGCGCCCTATAGCAAAAAACCTCTCCAAAAAAAATTAGAGGTGGATGAAAGTGAAGCAAATTTCTTCTCTAAGTACACTGCAGGAAAAAAAAAATGTATTCAGTCTAGTAACTTCTCTTCCAGTGTTAAACCAAATTCACTATTCACAGTCAGCTGGTGGGATTGTTCGGTTCAGGTAGGCATCCACTACAAGTTGTAGCCTGTCCTCTTTTTTTCCTTCCAGAGGAAGTTTGCTGTAGAATTAGCCCTGGATGTAATTACACCCTGCCCCTGGTCAGTTGGGGCTACACTAACTTATTTGAACTCTCGAAATGAAAGCCAAGTAGCTAATAACTGCTTAATACGTTGCACCTGTAGGCGTTCGGTTATTTTTGTCTGCAGTTTTGCACCCATGAAAAATATTGAAAGGAGGTCCTGTCAGTAACGATTTTTACCACAAAATATTTAGAAAATATTTGTAAGTCTATGACTTGATGATATGAATATCAGGATAATTATACATTATAATTTCATTGAAAGGAGAATTTATGAAATTTGATCATTGTTAATGTATTTCAGGTAGTATTCCTAGATGGAAGAAAAAACTGCTAGCTATTTTCAACCCACAGGGGAGGTGGAATGCTGTTGACTAACTGTCCAAAGAAACCAAATGGCCTTATAACTTTAAAAAAAAATCATCCTTTCTGGAGTATGTAGGCTGATCTCTTAATTGGATATTGCACAGTTTTATCACTTTTATTAATGAAATATAATTATAACAAAATAATCTGCCATGGTTCGTAGCAGGAATAGAATATAAGGGTCTATTTTGAGCAAAATCTATCAGTCAAATAAGAAAGGACTGCCAGAAAGACTCCTAATTCTTCTAGAAATATCAGAGGTCTAAATAAAACCTACGAACTGATCCTGCTTCCAGTTTCTTTGGCCACATTATTTCTTCCGCTTTTAACCTAACTCCTGGGCTTCTTCACTGCAGTGCGTCATCTGGTGTTACACTAAACTCACTGGCGCTTTCCTGTGTTGGCATGGAACGGCACAGGCCGATATGGGCCCCTGGTGCCATGAGCAGGTATATGAGGCCGCTGCCAACCAGTTACATCCCCAGTGATCAGTTTCCCCCTCAATTGTCTTCTTTTTAAAAAATAAAACCAGGAAATATTGGGTTGTCTGAAAAGTCATGACACATTTTTGCACAGAAAAAAAGAAAAATACTTCATGACTTTCCTGACAACCTACTATATCGAGGTGGGTTTCTTCCTTTCTTTCTTTCTTTCTTTCTTTCTTTCTTTCTTTCTTTCTTTCTTTCTTTCTTTCTTTCTTTCTTTTTAAAATATATAATCTTTAATTTCACTACCAATTGATTTAATGGCCAAGAGGAATGTGTATAGTTTGGTTTCCTATTTTTCCCCTCTGTGCATTATTTCAGCAAATTATACTTGGAGTTAATGTAATTAATGATCTCCAAAATACTCCATTCCAATAAAAACGACAGATCCTGTTAGTGTGAAGTTCATGAAAAACAACATTTTATTTTTTCAGCTGGACTGTACCATCGTAAAAATCTAAAAGGACAGGACCAACAGATGGTGTAATAGGTACATCGCTGGACTCCTACTTAGTCCCCCACAGTTTGAGTCCCATACCAGGCATCTTGAAACACACTAGGCGCGTGTGCGTGTATGTCCAAGATCCTGAGAAGAGAATGGAGGAGAAAGGATTGTGGTGTGGCCATCCACCCGGAAGGTGTTTTCTTGCTTTCTGTCTCCAGCGAATGCATGTGCTGCCCCACAGCAAAAATCTCTTTTCACAAATAAAATAAAATAAAAGGGAAAGATGGGAAAACTTATTTTTGTGTAAGATACACCAAACTGAGAAAGTCACCCATCTCACGAGTGAGTTGCTTCCTAACTCCACCCCCTCTCCTCAGGAGATGGGAACTTGTGTTCACCTCCACTTGTAAACGAGGGCAGGATGGAGGACGGCAGCCAGGAGCGTTATCTGAGAAATCGCCCTTCTGTGCCCCTGCACGCTGGCACCTTTCTGCTTTCTCTCTTTGTAAAATCTGCTGTAGGGTGCATGCTCTCACTGGAGAGAGACAGAGACAGAATGGGAATGGGAGGGGTAGGAAAGCACTTCCTAAGTGCTACGCCAGGTCCCTTC